AGAAGAAGAAGAGGAGGAGGAGGAGGAGGGGGTTACAAACTCCTTTCCCTTCCCCTCCCCACAACCCCCCCCCATGGTCCTTTTCCTCCAGGGGGAAAAAGAAGAAGAAGAGATTGGATTTATACCCCGCCCTTCACTACCGAAAGGTGTCTCAGAGCGGCTTACAATCTCCTTTCCCTTCCCCTCCCCACCACAGACACCCCGTGAGGTAGGTGGGGCTGAGAGAGCTCTGACAGAAAGTGCTCTTTTTCAAGAACAGCTCTGACAGAACTATGGCTTGCAGAAGGTCATCCAGCAGGTGCGAGTGGAGGCGTGCAGGATCAAACCCGGTTCTCCCAGATTAGAGTCCGTGCACTCAACCACTACAACCAAACATGCACATACATGCAAGCTTTAACCTCCCTTATAATTCCAAAAACCAGGCCAGGAAGTTACAGGACCCACTCCTTTTTATTTCTCGGTCTCAAGAATGGCAGGGAAGACGTCTCTCAGAATGCTGTGTGGTTTCCATTTTTATTTTTACATTTTACGAGGAAACTGATCGGGGCGGCCGTTTTTTTTTTAACGTTTTACGAGGAAACTGATCGGGGCGGCCGGAACCGGGCTTCCCGGGGGAACAGCTGTACCGGGGCGGGTTTGGATTCCTTGAAGGCAGAGAGCTAGAAGGGTCCTGACACCGGGGAACTGAAGGGTGGAAAGCGAGACAGCGACCAGGCAACTATGAGCCCCGAATCTTCCAAAGGGAGGACGCTCGCTACCCGGAGGAAACCCTAGGTAGGAAACCAGGGGCCACTGTCCGTAGAAAGAAGATGCAGTGTCAGTTCAGAGAGGCGTTTTTGTTTTGTTTTTAAGTGCCAAGAAAAGGAGATCCCCCCCCCCCGAAGGCTTGTCAACTGAGCAGGGGGAATGGCTGGTTTCCAAGTTTTATACTTTAGACTAGGAGTGTCAGACGTAAGGCCCCTCCAGCGCTCTTACCTGGCCCGCAAGCAACTGATATGTATAGCAATGTAAAGTGCTCCCACTTTTATGGTATTCCTTGGGT